TTTACCATGAAGCTATCATCGTCGTGATGTAAAATTGGGTGGCGTGTACTGAAACGGTCCTGTCACTACGGTGGATAACTTTAATGACTTTTGGTGGCGACATGTGAGTATCCTATGCCACGTACTGAAACGACCCTATCACCATGGCAGCTATCTTGTGGTGTCTGTTTAGTTACGACATGTGAGTATGCTGCATACCGGGTACTGAAAGGATCCTGTCAGCGGATATCTTATGGGTTGTGTATGGGGACGATGTGTGAGTATGCCAATATGGCGGGTTTCTTGTGGTATGTGGCTTGGGTTGTATATGATATTAATCATACCATTCTTATATTCAACATTTGTTTCATTTTGATGTGCAGGACGGAGGGTCTGGCAAGGAACAGTGTCTAGTCGCTCGAGTGGAACGTTGGCATGTACAAAAAAGAACCATTGACTGACAGTTGGAACAAAGTTGGGTCATAACGCCGCTCTTTGGGCAACATAGCACATTGCATGTCGTGTGATCGTATTAATTATCCCGGTTGGTGAAGAAAAATGGGACGTTAGTCGTGAAACCTCATTAGATTTGAAAAATGTTTACGATACGATCTATGACGTTACTGCCTACTGCCTAGCAATAGGTTCTTTTGACCAGGCCTAGAAAAAAATCGAAAGGTCAAACACCTTCAATATTTGTATCAAATGATTGTGACATGTTGGGTTATGTACGATTCTCGGATCGGTCTAAAAAAAATGTTATAGGCCAAGAAATGTCATGGATTTAGCACTGAAGTCAATATAGAGATAATCGCCAATCTGACTCCATATGGAGGCAGACCACCATTAATTTCCCCATTGACTTCAATGTTAATTCTGGCCTCTTTGCCCACCTCCATCTTTTCCCCAAGTTTTCGTTGGGCGGGATGCTTTTCACTACAGACAGAGGAACAAATGGTCATGTCTTTGCACTAAAATGTGTATGAGGTTGACCACCAAAATTTTGAGATACACAAACTTGAAGAAGCATACAACAGACATGTAACTAGTTGCCGTACATATCGCCGTAGCCAACCTGATAACCCTGTTATCCTTCCGCCTCAAAATCATGAATATTTACCAAAACCTGGCAGAAAATGTTAATTCAAACCCTCTTCGTCAATTCTAGACCAAAAAATCAACAAAAATGGGCATGCAAAAGGGGAGAAAAGAGAGAGAGAGAGAGAGAGAGAGAGAGAGAGAATTGCTATAAATAGACGAACTACAATTCAAATCAAATCAAATCTTTATTCAGTATTTAAGGCCTCTGGCCCATAGTGCAGTATAATAAAATATATCAACTATATATATAAAACATAATTATATTACAACAGATGACTAGTTCTTATGCTGTTAGCCTTAAATATATATCCTGCTACATTATTTACAATGTTTATATCTGACATAGCTTTTATATACAAATAAGTACTAGTGTCATTACAATAGGATGAGTCGATCCATGGCATAAGTTGTGATCTAAGGTCTGTATACATTTGACAAGATACAATGAAATGAATTTCATCTTCGATAGTCGAGCAGGCGAGATTATCCAGACAATATTTACATATTCTGTCAGATCTATCTATATTATGCCATCTTCCAGTTTCTATTGCTAAGTTGCGGTTTCCACATCTAAATCTGGTTAGTGATATTCGATATTTATTATTATAAATCGCGGACAAATATTTCTCAGGTTCGAGTATGGACTTAAAATGGCTGTACTGTTCAAGTTTAGAATTGGAAGATACATCTTGTGGCCACTGTTGTGAACAGCAATCTACTAATCTTTGCTTGAAGCTTTGTAGAAACATCTGAACATTTCCAACGTATTGTAGATCCCAGACGAACCCGTACCGTATCCATATTTATATAATATTAATTTGATGTTTGTAGCCCACGTGACTCTGCCATTATTATCCAATTTTACAAGCATATTATAACAAGTTTTCGGAAATCTATTATTTGACATATATAACAGCTTAAACCAGTATTTAATACATTTAAACAAATAATTCACTAACAATGGGGTTCTACCTAGCTCACCATATACGGCTGCATTACAAGTACTCGAGTTTACATTTAGTATTGATTTACAAAATCGAGTTTGTAGTATTTCTGACGCATCACGGCGTGTATGTCCCCATATTTCCGAGTCATAGCATACAATTGGAACTATCATTCTATCGAAAAGAAACAATTTTTTTTCTCTACGTATGAAACAGAAGCATATTTGTAGCTTTTCTGGCTTGCTGTACAAGAGTATTTATAGCCAAAGACCGGCATAATTTGGGACTGAACATGATACCTAGATATATATTTATAAGAGGACACGGTGTCGATTTTGATGCCGTCAAATCGCCACTGTTTATTTGCTTTCACAATGCCACCCCTCCTAAATACTACAACTTTAGTTTTGTTTAAGTTTACTTTCATGCCGAAATTTTTGCAGAAGTCATTTATACAATCCATTTGTGACTATAGCCTGGGCACCGTATCCGCTATACACGAAATATCATCAGCATACATTAAAGATACAATATTATCTATACTGGATCAACAAAAATTCCTTTACAATTGTAATTATCTAACATTTCTTTTAACTCGTTGAGGTAAAGTACAAACAGTAGCGGGCTTATCATGCAGCCCTGTCGGGTTCCTACTGTACAATCAAAATAATCTGAAAGTCTCATTTTGCTGGTATAGACACATGATCTAAGATTTGAGTACATCGATCTTATGACTCGAAAGACATTTCCTCTGATTTCATTTTTGTATAATACATATAATATAAAATGATGCTGGACGGTGTCGAAAGCTTTAGAGAAATCTACAAATAGACAGTACATACGACCTCCCTTTTTTGTAAGGTATTTTTGTATAAGGAATTGGAGGGTAAAGATTTCATCCACTGTGCTATAACCCTTTCTAAAACCACCTTGGCATTCACAGTAGTTTTGATTAACCTCACACCATAGGGTTAGACGACTGTTAATGATTTTTGTGAAAAGCTTACTTATTGATGACACAAGCGAAATCCCCCTATAGTTATTTGGGTCCATAGGCTTATCCTTTTTGTGGACTGGATGAATGATGGCATCCCCCCAGCTCTTTGGAAAAGTCCCACTACTTAAAATTTGATTGAAAATGACATGCAGATAAGGCAGTATTACATCGATTGAATTTTTAATTATCTCATTAACAATTCCATCCGGCCCAGGTGCTTTTGAATTTGGTAAACTGTTGACTGCTGAAAGGATTTCTTTTATGCTTATTTATATATCTAGAGTATCATCTGATTCATTGTTTTGGTCCTTACAATCATTCACAAGGTCGAACACGTCTTTCTCAAAATCATCGTCTGTCTCGAATTTATTATTTAACAGGTCTTTAAAGAAAGTGAACCACTGAGTCGCTGGTATGGTTTGTACGACCCTTTCTTTTCTCAAACATCTGTTGACTTTCTGCCAAAGGTTTGTTGTGTTGTCTGATCGGTTAAGAAGAAATTTCGACCGGATCCTTGCCGCCGCTCGTTTCCTTGTATCACAGTGCAGTTTAAATTTACTTCGGCACTTTTTATATTTCAACAAATCTTCATTCTCCTTGCTGTTCCGAAACAATTCCAATAGCTTATATTTTTCTATTTTTCGTTTTTCACATTGACTGTCCCACCAGATCGGCTGAGTCTCTCTCAATCTTGTACAGTTAGGTCGCATGATCATGCTTTCGGCCGCATCTTGCAATATAGAGGTTAACAAAGAGACAGAATTGTCAATATCACATTGATTAGTGAGTATCTCTAGATCGTGGAATTTGGTTTGCGTTTCCGTGCAGGTTAAGTTTTCGACAAATTTTCCTGTATTGGATGATTTTCATTCGATCCTTGTCCAATTCGTTTGGTTTAATTTTTCATTTATTCCCAATATATTATCCATAGGGCATTTAATTTTACACAGCGTTGGGAAGTGGTCAGATTCATCCCGAGTGAGTACTTCGAAGTTTTGAACTAAATTATAAATACCATTCGAAACTATCACATAGTCTATTACACTGTTACCATTATGTCCAATATAGTGAATTCTCCATGAGTATCACCATGTATTCTACCATTTAACATATGAACACTAAAGGTGCGACATAAATTTAGAAGAGATTTACCGTATCTATTGATGGTAGTGTCTTTTGAATTCCGTTTGATTGAGAATTCGTCTGCTATAATTATAATCATCTTGACAGGGGAGGTATTTTGTGCTGTCATCAGTAATAAAGTCTTGCATTAAGGTCACCTGCTATTATAAGGTCAACATCGTCAGAAAATTCTGACTTTAAGAGACATAAATTGTTTTCAATATTTATGATACCATCGGATTCTCTGGAATTATTTTTTTTCGAAGCATTTTCTGGAGGGACATACAGAAAACAAAATATAGTTTGCTTGCTTACAATTGGACCTGCATTAACAGTGAAATATATACCATCAGTAAATTCTGAATGAATTCTCGTGAAGTTAGGTGATAGAGACTTTCGAATAAATACAATAATTCCACCCGATGGTCTCCCTTTAACCGAATAGTTTCTAATTAAGGAAAAGGCTTCATGATCAGGTAACACTGAGTTGAATTCACATAATGATCTACACCGTGGGTACCGAGATGGTGAAATTTAATGGTGGTCTGCCTTCATCTATTTATGTAGAGTTATGTCCCTTGCCATTTACTCTTACGGACCGGAGTTATAAATATGATGTTATATAATTCAGGAACATGGATAATATGTAAACGTTGTAAAACAATACAAATTCGTTTTGTCGTCACTTTTTAGTTTGTTACCTATTATATCAGATATGAACATTAAGGAAAAACCTGGCTCATCTCATATTAAATCTAATTAAATTAAGACAATATCTCGTATTGTTTTAACGCCATAACGGTAAATAAATTCAGTTATCCATGATTTGGTCCTCATTCTGTCTGTTTTGCAACTTGGTTACAGCGCGGGAAAGCTGGTTTGTTCGCCGTACCGTACCTACTGTCAAAACATAACAGTAATTTTTATAGTAATTAGAAATTAAACACATTTCAGTATTTTTGGTTTAAAAATGCCATCGCCTAGAAACAAGAAGAGAAAACAAAAAGAAGATCTAGTAATAGTTTCAGTAAGAAATTGTTGAATAATTAAATTAGACTAGGCCTATACTTTTTAATATTAATTATATTATATATTATGTAATTATGATATGCCATAATTATATAGGCCTAATATGGTCTTCTTTAAAATTAAAACTTGTCAAAAGACAATGTTTGCAATTTTACATATAATTATGATAGACCTGGCTAATATAGACACATTCCAAATTAAAGTAATCTTTGAAGAATTATGAATTGACGCAAAAAAAAAGGAAAACATTACTTACATATAGGCTAGTCTATCATTGCAAAGTAGAAAGCAATAACAGATACATATTTGATTTTCACATTGAAGTTGAAAAGTTGTTAAATGAGACCGTAAGGGGATATCTGTTCGGAACGAACTATTCATAACAGAGCCTTGTCTAAGGATTTGATTGGGCGCTGCAATGTCGGAGTCAAACGAAGCCCGACCGGCGAGCACCAAGACCCCCCCCCTTAGAAAATTTTGAAAATTGACTACCTTAGACTCGATTTCTGAGCACTTGAAAAATAATTTCGGAGATTTGATACACTTATAGTTTTGGCATCTTGTTAAACCATGGATTGATTAATACCCTGTAAAAGCGAGGTCAAAACAGTGCTGCGGCTGACCCGCAGACAGAAATATACCCATAAAACAATTAGAAAGACGTTTTTGTTAACCTACGCACCATGGTATAGTATTGGCACATGGGAAAAACCTTGTCAGCGATTTTCAAAACGTTGATGTTGCCGCCCAGTCTTCAACTTTTGGGCTCAGTAGGCAGCACAGTTTGACCAGTGCGCGGCGGCGGCGCCGCCTAGTCACCATGTTAAACAAGGCTCTGATTCATAAAAAGAATTGATTGTATCATGAGATAAAAAAAGCAAGAAAAATAGAAAAATCAGTGCATTATCTCTTGTTTTTATTAACTCTCTTTTTATTTTGACCGATAATTATAGTTTATTCAGGTAGTTATGTTATTATTATTTTGAAAGTTTAACTTATGGCAATCAGACGATCTTTATTTATCCAACTGCATTCATATTCATTTCTCACCTAACCTATCTACTATTAGATTTTTATACGCCCACATTTTCATGTGGAGGTGTATTGTCGTCGCCCCTGTTCGGCCTTCCATCCGTCCGTCCACAATTGTTTGTGGACACTCTACAGGTCACAATTCTTATCCGATTTTGACGAAACTTGAAATATAGGTTTACATGTATCTCCAAAAGATCTCGGCTGCTTTCGATATCGGCATGTATCGGATAGAAACTTCATGGATTATGGCCCCTGTTTGTACGAAAAATCACGTTTTTATCTTGTGGACCCAATAGAGGTCCCAATTTTTATCCGATTTTGTTGTAACTTGAAATGTAAGTTTATAACACAAAGATCTCAGTTCCTTTCGATATTCGCGCATATCGAATTGTAATTTCCTGAATTATGGCCCTTGATTGTAGGAAAAATCACTTTCTTGTTAGCTTGTTCTCTATCCATCTCTCGAAAATGTGGCCGTATCCTGTCTGGCAGCCGCTGGTTTGTTAATAAGGTCATTAAAAAATTTATCTCTTTGGATCTGTGTACTTCTGGTCAGATTTGTGCAAAATGGGGATTGCAAACCGGACAATCTGTCTTAGTTGTAAATTTATGTACAAAAGTAAAACAAAAACTGGTTTATGTGAAATCCTAACATGAGAAGTGGTAGATCTATAATAAGGAGTTTTGGAAAGATTAAGCATAAACAACACCAATCACTACTTATAAGCCGTTGCTACTATTCATCAAGGCCTGAATCAGGCATTCTAAAATTTCTCTGAAATACTGCATACACGAAAAGAAAATTACAAAAAGACAATGTAATCAACAGTCAATTCTTTATATGGGCCCACATTTTCTTCACTCTGTAATTCGGTCTGTCAACAATTGGGTTGTGAACATGTTCAAGGCTAGAGTTTTTGTCAGATTCTTTTTAAATTTGGTGTGAAGCATTGTGGTCATGAGAGACCGAAGTATGAACCCTTTCGATATTCAGTTTTCCGTGACTTTTTGTTGTGGAGTTAGGCCCATGCCCCTTTTTATGAAAACCTTGTGAATGCAATAGAGGCTATAGTTTTCGTTAGATTCAAATTTGGTGGGAAGCACTGTGGTCATGAGAGAACGAACTCTATCAATTTTCAGCATTCTGCAACTTTTTATTCTGGAGTTTTCCCCACTTGGCAGAAAACCTTGTGAATGCGATAAATTCTTTTCAAATTTAGTATTAAGCATGGAGGTCACGAGAGAATGAACCCTTTCCATTGTGAATGCCATATAATGGCTGCATGGGGTCATGAGAGCATGAACAATATCGATTTTCGGATTTCCACAACTTTCCTTTCAAGTCCAGAGCGGGGGTTGGGTTGTCTAGTGGTTTAACACTGCGCGTGAAACGATAAGATCTGTCATTGAGTCAAGTGGCATGGTTTAGATTCCCCGTTTGTGGGTTTTCATCAGGTCCTCTCAGTTTCCTCCCACTGCTAAAGATGTGGATGTTAGACTCTATTTCTCGCTCTCTCTCTCTTTTCTTTCCAGAATTATCCTCCCTTTGCCAAAAACCTTGTGAACTTGATATAAGCCGTCGGTCCGGTGTCCACAATTGCTTGTGGACGCTCTATAGGCTAAAGTTAATATCCCATTGACTTTAAATTTATACACAGGGTCATGAGACAAAAGCCTGTTGATTTTCAGCGATTTTCAATAATTACTGTCGGAGTTATGGCCCTTGATCACTTCAAAAAATCTTGTGGACGCTCTAGAGGTCAAAGTTAATATCTGATTAACTAACTTTAGATTTATACACAGCGTTTAAGGTCATGAGACAAAGAAGCCTATTGATTTTCAACGATTTTCGATAATTACTGTCAGAGTTATGGCCCTTGATCACTTTGAAAAATCTTGTGGACGCTCTAGAGGCTAAAATTAATATCCGATTGACTTTAAATTTATACGCAGTGTTTAAGGTCATGAGACGAAGAATCCTATTGATTTTCAGCAATTTCCGATAATTACTGCCAGAGTTATGGCCCTTGATCACTTTGAAAAATCTTGTGGACACTCTAGAGGCTAAAGTTAATATCCGATTGGCTTTAAATTGATATACAGTGTTTAGGGCATGAGACGAAAAAGCTTTGATTTTCAAAGAATCTTTATGACTTGAACAGCTAAATCCATGATGTTAAAAGTTTTGTATACTAAACGTTAGCAATAGCACGGGGCAGAACTTTATAAAAACCAAACAAATTCTAATGGTTTTCTGATAATTACTTAATGAGTTGTTACTCTTAATCAGATTTTAATGTATTATAAATGTTTCATTACCGAAAAAAGTAAAAATATGTGACAACTCTTGTTGACTGCTCGGACGATATAGCTGCTGTGGGCGTATGTTTCGTTGCCTGGCAACCTATCTTTAACAGATTGGCTTGTGAACACGATAGAGACTATAGTTTTCGACGGATTCTTTTCAGATTTAGTGTGAAGCATTGTGGTTAATTATGAGAGGACAAACCCTATCGATATTCAGCGATCCGCATCTTTTTGTTCCTGAGTTATGCCCCCTTTTCCAAAAAAAAAAGAAATGGCTTGTGAACATGATAGAGGCTATAGTTATGAACAGATTCTTTTTATATGCCCACATTTTCACGTGAACGTATTTTACTGTTGCCCCTTTCAGTCCACAATTTGTTTGTGGACAGTCTACAGGTTACAATTTTTATCCAATTTTGGTATAGTATTGGCACATGGGAAAAACCTTGTCAGCGATTTTCAAAACGTTGATGTTGCCGCCCAGTCTTCAACTTTTGGGCTCAGTAGGCAGCACAGTTTGACCAGTGCGCGGCGGCGGCGCCGCCTAGTCACCATGTTAAACAAGGCTCTGATTCATAAAAAGAATTGATTGTATCATGAGATAAAAAAAGCAAGAAAAATAGAAAAATCAGTGCATTATCTCTTGTTTTTATTAACTCTCTTTTTATTTTGACCGATAATTATAGTTTATTCAGGTAGTTATGTTATTATTATTTTGAAAGTTTAACTTATGGCAATCAGACGATCTTTATTTATCCAACTGCATTCATATTCATTTCTCACCTAACCTATCTACTATTAGATTTTTATACGCCCACATTTTCATGTGGAGGTGTATTGTCGTCGCCCCTGTTCGGCCTTCCATCCGTCCGTCCACAATTGTTTGTGGACACTCTACAGGTCACAATTCTTATCCGATTTTGACGAAACTTGAAATATAGGTTTACATGTATCTCCAAAAGATCTCGGCTGCTTTCGATATCGGCATGTATCGGATAGAAACTTCATGGATTATGGCCCCTGTTTGTACGAAAAATCACGTTTTTATCTTGTGGACCCAATAGAGGTCCCAATTTTTATCCGATTTTGTTGTAACTTGAAATGTAAGTTTATAACACAAAGATCTCAGTTCCTTTCGATATTCGCGCATATCGAATTGTAATTTCCTGAATTATGGCCCTTGATTGTAGGAAAAATCACTTTCTTGTTAGCTTGTTCTCTATCCATCTCTCGAAAATGTGGCCGTATCCTGTCTGGCAGCCGCTGGTTTGTTAATAAGGTCATTAAAAAATTTATCTCTTTGGATCTGTGTACTTCTGGTCAGATTTGTGCAAAATGGGGATTGCAAACCGGACAATCTGTCTTAGTTGTAAATTTATGTACAAAAGTAAAACAAAAACTGGTTTATGTGAAATCCTAACATGAGAAGTGGTAGATCTATAATAAGGAGTTTTGGAAAGATTAAGCATAAACAACACCAATCACTACTTATAAGCCGTTGCTACTATTCATCAAGGCCTGAATCAGGCATTCTAAAATTTCTCTGAAATACTGCATACACGAAAAGAAAATTACAAAAAGACAATGTAATCAACAGTCAATTCTTTATATGGGCCCACATTTTCTTCACTCTGTAATTCGGTCTGTCAACAATTGGGTTGTGAACATGTTCAAGGCTAGAGTTTTTGTCAGATTCTTTTTAAATTTGGTGTGAAGCATTGTGGTCATGAGAGACCGAAGTATGAACCCTTTCGATATTCAGTTTTCCGTGACTTTTTGTTGTGGAGTTAGGCCCATGCCCCTTTTTATGAAAACCTTGTGAATGCAATAGAGGCTATAGTTTTCGTTAGATTCAAATTTGGTGGGAAGCACTGTGGTCATGAGAGAACGAACTCTATCAATTTTCAGCATTCTGCAACTTTTTATTCTGGAGTTTTCCCCACTTGGCAGAAAACCTTGTGAATGCGATAAATTCTTTTCAAATTTAGTATTAAGCATGGAGGTCACGAGAGAATGAACCCTTTCCATTGTGAATGCCATATAATGGCTGCATGGGGTCATGAGAGCATGAACAATATCGATTTTCGGATTTCCACAACTTTCCTTTCAAGTCCAGAGCGGGGGTTGGGTTGTCTAGTGGTTTAACACTGCGCGTGAAACGATAAGATCTGTCATTGAGTCAAGTGGCATGGTTTAGATTCCCCGTTTGTGGGTTTTCATCAGGTCCTCTCAGTTTCCTCCCACTGCTAAAGATGTGGATGTTAGACTCTATTTCTCGCTCTCTCTCTCTTTTCTTTCCAGAATTATCCTCCCTTTGCCAAAAACCTTGTGAACTTGATATAAGCCGTCGGTCCGGTGTCCACAATTGCTTGTGGACGCTCTATAGGCTAAAGTTAATATCCCATTGACTTTAAATTTATACACAGGGTCATGAGACAAAAGCCTGTTGATTTTCAGCGATTTTCAATAATTACTGTCGGAGTTATGGCCCTTGATCACTTCAAAAAATCTTGTGGACGCTCTAGAGGTCAAAGTTAATATCTGATTAACTAACTTTAGATTTATACACAGCGTTTAAGGTCATGAGACAAAGAAGCCTATTGATTTTCAACGATTTTCGATAATTACTGTCAGAGTTATGGCCCTTGATCACTTTGAAAAATCTTGTGGACGCTCTAGAGGCTAAAATTAATATCCGATTGACTTTAAATTTATACGCAGTGTTTAAGGTCATGAGACGAAGAATCCTATTGATTTTCAGCAATTTCCGATAATTACTGCCAGAGTTATGGCCCTTGATCACTTTGAAAAATCTTGTGGACACTCTAGAGGCTAAAGTTAATATCCGATTGGCTTTAAATTGATATACAGTGTTTAGGGCATGAGACGAAAAAGCTTTGATTTTCAAAGAATCTTTATGACTTGAACAGCTAAATCCATGATGTTAAAAGTTTTGTATACTAAACGTTAGCAATAGCACGGGGCAGAACTTTATAAAAACCAAACAAATTCTAATGGTTTTCTGATAATTACTTAATGAGTTGTTACTCTTAATCAGATTTTAATGTATTATAAATGTTTCATTACCGAAAAAAGTAAAAATATGTGACAACTCTTGTTGACTGCTCGGACGATATAGCTGCTGTGGGCGTATGTTTCGTTGCCTGGCAACCTATCTTTAACAGATTGGCTTGTGAACACGATAGAGACTATAGTTTTCGACGGATTCTTTTCAGATTTAGTGTGAAGCATTGTGGTTAATTATGAGAGGACAAACCCTATCGATATTCAGCGATCCGCATCTTTTTGTTCCTGAGTTATGCCCCCTTTTCCAAAAAAAAAAGAAATGGCTTGTGAACATGATAGAGGCTATAGTTATGAACAGATTCTTTTTATATGCCCACATTTTCACGTGAACGTATTTTACTGTTGCCCCTTTCAGTCCACAATTTGTTTGTGGACAGTCTACAGGTTACAATTTTTATCCAATTTTGACAACTTGAAATATAGGTTTATCTCCCAAAGATCTAGGATCCTTTTGATATTGGCATGAATTATTGACAATTTTTATGAAACTTTAAATGTATGTTTAAAACTCAAAGATTTCAGTTCCTTTCGATATTCACACACATCAGACTGTGACTTCATGTATTATGACCTCTGATTGCACGAAAAATCGTGTATTTAGCTTGTGATCGCTCAAGAGGTTACAATTTCGAATATATCACCATTAGACCATGATGATTGTAGAGTTTGCATTTCGTAAAAATCTGACCAAAACTGTCGGACAAAATGTCCGCTCTCTGTACACAAATAGTGTAAAAGTAAGTAATATCACGGTTGTGGACCCTCTAGAGGTCACAATTTTGATTAAATTTGAAACATATATTTATATGTCGATATGCGTCATTCCGCGACTTTCCTTTCTTGGGTTATTCCCCTTTTGCCAAAAAACATGTGAATGCGATAAAGGCTGTAGATTTTAACAGATTTTTTGTCAAATTTGGTTTGAAGCAATGGGGTCATAATCCAAGTTTTCCTTTCGGATAAGCTACAGTTGTGGGCGTATTCCGCAGTTTGCGTGTCTATCTTTATGTATAGTTCGTTACAAACAGATATTGTCTCACAGTCTCGTATAACAACTTTTTGACTTTAACAGAATTATAGTGAGCTGGAAATCGGCTGTATCTACTATCTCTCTCTACTTCAATAGTATTAGTAAGGATAACTTGTGTTTTCCGTTTTTTACATCACTTTCTGATTCTTCAAATCTTTGTTAAGGATCAACTGTAGCAAAGAATTCTGTGTTGAAATTATATTTGGAATGTGTTTATTAGCCAGGTCTATCATATACATGTCTGTTATATTGGCTGATGCCAACATTGTCCTTTGATGTTAAGGCTGTGCACTGTTACTGCCACTTATTAAAGAAATGAATTGAAATGGGGTTAATGTCCTACTTTTCTTCACTGACTCTAATGAAGACAAACCACTTTTTTAAGGCCAAAATAGAGACATTCTTTACCATGCAACCTTTTCATTTCTTTTTTTTTTCTTTTTTTTTTTCAGAAAAAGATTAGATTTATAAAAAATGAGAATGATAAAAAAAAAATTGTATTAACCGAGCTTCCAGTTTCATCAACATCCGTCAAGGTATTCAAAGTTCTTTCTGACAAAAAAAAAATTGGTAGTCAAATATATGTCCACCTGAAAATATAAGCAATCACAGCAGGGAGTAAAACACACTGAGATGGTAAAAATATCCTTCCTTTCCCAATATCTAACAGACACTGTCAAAGAGGTGGGGGGGGGGTAGCTCGACGTCACAACTGATAAAGGAACATTGGGTTTCAACTCAGTCCGGTATTATTTATTCAACCTGTTCCATTGCATAAGTTATATTTATACTTATAGCACGGCTTTCATGAGATAACAGGTTTAACCACAGAGGCTGTAGGCCGAGGTATTAATAAACCTGTTAACTTGCTCAACATGTTCGTTGTTATTGCACAGAAAACCCACCCCACGTCTCTATATGATTTCTACTGAAACTAGCGTAAACCAGCAAAAATGTACAATAGCACTGAAAATGTATATTTATTAAGCCCCAGCCAGTCTACTACAGGGAAAACAATCTGCTTATTCAACGAAGTGAACAAAATAAGATTTTTGTCCATGTTACAATTACAGGAGAAGCTTTTATTTTGAAATTTCTTGTCCTTCAGATTAGGGAGTCCCCTTACATTCATTGATTGCACCACATTACACGCAAAACAAAACGAACAAGATAAACTCAAGATGCTAGTTTATTCCTTTAAACATTTAAATTTCACATTTCTTTTCTCATTACCGGTTTATTTTGTCTTTTACAATAAAGCTTAAGTTGGTCTCTATCTGAAAAAGTTTGACAAATGTATTCACACATTTCATTCTAGATATCCTGTTTCTTTTGTAGATTAATCCAAGTCCTAGAAAAACAGAATCCAATATAAAAGAAGAGAAGCCAGAATTGTGTGCATATGATGATGACAATGATCAGGAAGATGTGGGTTATATTTAATTTTGGTTAAGCTTCATTGTAGAGCTGGACGATATTGGTAAAATCAAACATCGCAATATTTCCCCAAAAACGACGATATATCGCGATATTTTAGTTTTATTATAAAAAGCTAACAATATATCGCGATATATCACAATACCCGGATATTTTACTCGTGCAATGTTTTTTAGGCTTTATTACTACTGTTCGATCAGCTTGAGCTTCGCAATGTTCCGCCATCTTTCAAAATGTTGAATAACATGTGGGTATGAGTAGACTCAAAGAACCAGACATAATTTCTCCTAGGTACACTACATCGGCGCGTAACTCTGGAGTTTGTCTAAATCTCGAATATCATGACGCAATTTAGTTTTATTTACAAATAACATTTTACTTTTATTTAAAGAAGCTAAGTCTCTAACTCAATATCATCCAAAATCTTCAACATTTAAAACACGAATTATTTGTCAATTTAAAACAACATTGATGCTGTGATCTTACCGTAAAAGATGGGCTTCTGATATCCAATATTTAAGACAAAATAAATATTTTCCATTGGTACACGAATCGTGTACCATAATGCGTTTCAGCCCCAGTTCTAGCAAGAGACTAGAGGAACGAGGCTAGACATATTGCACCAAACCAAACGGCGTATGTAGACTGGAATAACCAGATGCTAGGAATTTGCATTCGATTGAGCCTGCTGATTTGAAATTAGAGTAAAAACGGAAATGATTGAATGTAAATCAGTTTATATACATTCATATTACAGTATTATGAGTTGCGACCCACTTGTGTCAATTTCTAGGTCCCAAATATTAGCGATTTAGCTCCTTTAAATCGGCTTCAGTTTAAAAATTGGCAAAAAAAACCACCCAAACACACACACAAAATGATAGTTAAATAACAAATGGCATCATACATTAAATGATAATAACTGTTTCCCAACAGTGCCAATGATAAATCGACCGAAGACGGCGAAGAGAAGATATTACGCCATGACTTACTTGGCTGGTTATTCGAGTGTTGCACAGCATTAGCGACGGGTTTGACATTATAATGACAAATTCCAATGGCAAGAGGAGAATGCCTCTATAAATTAAATATTAATTTTTCAATTATAAATTTATTTATCAAGTTTAATAATCGAGAAAACTACTAGACTAGTCATGTATTTAGTCATCGATCGTGACGTAATGTCGTAAATTGTTCGATGTCAATCCCATCCCAAATGCAGCACATAATATCGTGTAAAATACCGGTATGTTGATAGAAAAACACACAATACGATATATCATTATACCATGATTTTTTAGGTGGTTTATAATTTATAAAATATCGGAATTCAAATTTTAATATCGCGATTTATCGAATTACCGAAAAAATATCGTCCAGCCCTACTTCATTGATAATTTTCTTGAATAGATAATTGTGCCCATCAGCTAGGCATAATATAGACATTGCTTCGATTGGTTGAGATGTACCAACCTGAGATTGCCCTAATGGGCGTAAAATGTTCTCAAAATCATCCAGAGTCTTTGATATTACAATCACAAATTATTGGTCCATTCCAATCAAAAGTGATATTGTTATTTTTCCGTAAAAATATGAACTACTAATATCAAATATTTAAGACACAGTCAACAATTTTAAAACCAGTATATGCCAGGGTGTACTCAATGCTCTGTAATAAGGCAGCTTGATAAACAAAGCTAAACATCAGTGTGGGTGTAAAATGTCAAACTGTACTTCCGATGTAGACTGACGTGAGTGACTGCCATTCAATTTGGACTGATTAGATTTGAAATTCCGACATCGTACAGGATCGATAGAATATGCCGGATCACACAGCATGTGCGAATACTCAATTGTCGCAATACCGGAAGTATTATACTGGAAGTATTGTTGTACCTTTGTCCACGCCCTTAAACCACTTTTGCGTCATTCTGTTGATGTCTTCAAACTTAGCGTATCAGTAAATTTGTTTCTTATGGCTGTTGAAGTTATCGGCAAACTTCTATTTGAATTCATCTTTTCGCTTTAAAATGTTGGATACTGTAAGTACGGCCATCTGAATACTTAACGGCTGTGTAGGTCGTGGAACTTTCTCAAAATCTGCTATAATGTCAAATCCGTATGGGCACGCACGCTTTGCAGGACGATCACACATTATCAATTCAATTTGAGAAACTCAAATCAAATACCAAGCGCTCTCTTACAAGAGATTATAAAATAATCAAAGTAATCAACAAAGACCGACACATGTTTTATGCTCGCAGATAATTGATTGGTGATTACTTGTCGGTTAACACCCACTGATTGAAGGCCGAATTATCCAGTGTTAATTGAACGCAAATGATGTCGTAATTCGGAATATTCAGAATCTCAACTACTTAAAACTTTTTTGGTTAAAGTAATAAGGAAATAAATTGGGACATGAAAATGATGATGGATTTCACAGAATGCCATAGTAGTCTGATATCGGAAGTGACAGAGTCTACTGTAAAAGTTTAAAAAAATGAATGAAAATCAGTTTATACATATACATGTACTCATATTACATTTTTGGTTCCAAAGAACAGAGACTTAGCTCCTTTAATGAGCATGGATGTTGTTTTTTATACTCATTGGTTTTATATTACATGTATATGCTCACCCTCTGAAATCTGGGCTCGAAAAATCTGAATGGTTAGATGATCCAGTTTCATTGGATATTTTCCAAGATGGTTTGAATGTAAGAATTGAAAATTCTTTATTTTTTCTATAGGAAAATGATTATGAATTAATTCGAAAGAAGAATATTGAAGACAATGTGAAATTCCTCTCACAAATTGGTGTATTTGAGGTAAGGCTAAGAAGAAAACAAAATACGCAAGTATAGGGACAGTATACAGTAGGTCATTATTATGTTTGTAGGGAGGGAAGGAGAAAGCTCCATAAGATAAAGTTGATTGGGTAACTGTGTAACTAGAGGTTTTGGCCAATTAGTTATAGCACACATAAATTGTTTATATTTTTACATTTGTTGCATATTTGATTTGGAAATAAAAATAATTCATACCCTAAACTAATTGTAAATTAAATTATAGATATTTTAAATCTGGCATTTGAAAGGATATTTTTAGTGGTAGGGTATCATTATATTGTTAGGTTGTTTCTTGGTGGGAGATAATTGTGCCAAAACAGTGCATTAATCAGAATAGATGTAACCTTATTTTTTTTTCATTTTTCAGGCCAAACAGCAGCTTAACAACTTGGTTAAAAAACCAAAAAGAGAGGCATCACAAAGAGGCTTAAAAAAGTATGTTATCAAGGAAATATAAATTTGGCATCATGTGTACAATGTCTGAATTGTTGTTCAGCCTGGTTTCTTAAAGATGCATTATGTAAGATTTAGATAAAGAGCTGACAGTTCTCGCTATAATACATGTACTTAAAAAATAGATAAAAAAAAGGGAATACATTGTATGTTGAAAATTACTTCATTCTGAATAGAGTTAATGTCGTTGGCAGAACAGTGTAGCCTTATTGTCATGGCTACCATTGTTACAATAATAAACAAAGTAGCGATTATCCATTTTTAAATTAAATCATTAACTGCCAATCGTATTTAAATCTGTTGAAAATCAAAATCATCCGAAGTTCTAGAGAGTGGGTATGGCATGTAAATAAATGTCTAATTAATGATTTATATAACATTTGAGGCCAATCGAAAGATTTGTATAAGGTAGATTTAGCTCTTAAATAATGATCTTTAAGAAAGATTCTCTAAACTGTATAGGGGGAGTGAGTGGCCTAATGGTTTAAAGTGAGCACGTTAAATCACAAGGTCTGTAATTAAGTCAAGTGGCTTGGTTTCAACTCCCAGCTTGTCCACAACCAGGAGTAGTGTCTCTTGTCCAACCTTGTTGATTTTCTCTGGGTCCTCCGGTTTCCTCCGTCTGCTAAAGACCCCTATGCGCATGCGAATTATTGATATATAATTGAACCGTATGTCCCGAAATGACCTAGTTTGTATCGAGTGGACGTAAAACTCCATTTTTCTCTCTTTCTAAACTATGGCTGTCTCTTAGTACTAAACTGATGCATAATTTATGTGAATATTGAATTCATTATTTGCATAGTCTAAGGATTATTGGCATATATATAACACTTAAATGTCTTAATCTTTTGCATTTCTAAATTATATTTGTTTGTTACAGAAGTGTTCTTTAATTTTTCAGGAAGAAAATAGATGCAATTCCATTAGTAAGGCGAAAGAGTTTGCGTTTGGCTAGGATTGATCCACAAGGCAATAATTTACCCAATCCTATAATTGAAGCTGATACAACCAATAAGCAGGTTTGTTTTATATTCCATGTTAAAATCATTGTTGTCGTTTGTTGATGATCTAACAAAAAAAATGTTTTTTATCCTCTTATTATGTTTTTAATTCCTTATTTTCTATTCTTCCTCTGTGTCTTTTTTTCTCGCTTCTGTCTTCTATTGTCTTTATCTCATTCTTTCTTGCTTCTGGGGGGAATGGAAAGCCAAATGGTTAGCGTGTGTGCGCTGTATCATAAAGTCTGTCATTGAGTCAACTCCCATTCCTAAAGACCCCTACGCGCAATTAAATTATTGAAATTAAATTAAACATATTAATCTCAAAATGACCTATTTTGTGTCGAGTGTTGGTGGACGTTGAACCACATTTCTCTCTCTCCCGTCTTGCTTCTCTCTACTATTGTCTTTATCCCTTTCTTTCTCACTTCTGTTAACTATTGTCTTTATCATTTGTGTCTGACGTTTGACATACTTGGCATACATGTCTATTGTCTTTATCCTTTCTGTCTGACGTATATGTCTATTGTCTTTATCCTTTCTGTCTGACGTACATGTCTAATAGTGTCTTTTTCCTTTCTGTCTGACGTTTGACATACATGTCTATTGTCTTTATCTTTTCTGACTCGTACGTCTATTGTTTCTGTCTGATGTACATGTCTATTGTCTTTATCCTTTCTGTACGACTCACATGTCTGTTGTCTTTATCCTGTCTTACTTTCCTATTATCTCTGTCCTTTAACTCTTGCTATTATCTGACTTTTCTTCTTTTCTTTGGTCTGCTTTATTACAGGTTTCTACACACAGAAATGAAAGACAGGAATATAAATACAATGTTGCTAAACGGCGCTATTATAGCACACATAGCCATTATAATCTTCGGCGTTTATTATCTTAATTGTAAACCTTTTCTGCAGACTTAATCTTTTATAGTATGTTTTAGTTGTACTTTATCAGTAACAAACTTATTTGTGTGAGGAAGGATATCAATGTATTTCTGAATGTATACTCATATATCTGTAGTAAACTATTAATATCTGTTCATACATTATTCACTTAAAGCTACTTATCCTCATTTAAGGGATTTTGAATCCCTTTCAAGCTACTGTTGAAACTTTAAAAGGAAAATCCATGCAAAAATATCTCCATTCCTTGAATCCCTTTCAAGTTACTGTTGAAACTTTAAAAGGAATATCCATGCAAAAATATCTCCATTCCTTTTCCTATTTATAAAGAAATTGTGCATTGAAAATTTTGAAACATTAAATATCCTCTGCAAATTATATAAACAAGCCTGATATACCGGTACATGTAAGTGTTGTGTAAAATCTTTTGATTGTGACTCTTTTCAACTCTTTTCAATCCGATTGTTTTAATTCAATGATCTGTTAAACCCTTTGAACCCTGGCATATATACTGTAAATGACCCTCCCTCTGGCCCAAATGAATCATAACAGGGTATCGCCAAGGGAAGCTGGGGAAAGTCCTCTCTACACACAACACACAATTCAGTGTGGAATTCCCAATGCATCATGCATGGCCAGAAAAACAGCCAGCCGGGATATAGACGTTATTATTCTGGTCGTATGTTGTACTGTAATCAACAATTTCAGTATGTTTTAATGGTACCATAGTCAGTTGGATTTTTTTCTGAGGTAATTTGATTAAAACATTCGGTAGTTTCATCTGACAGCAGTTAATAGAAAATCATCAATAATATTAACTTTCATATTGAAGAATACTGAAAACTGGTAAGAGATTCTATACATAGGTTAAAGATGCCTTCCCATATTACAAAGTGTTCGATTATAATTATACATGATAAACTTTGCCTAGAAATAGAAACAGATTCTAACTAATGGGTGTTTTTCAGGGAATCCAGTATTTTTCTAGTAAAATTGTGTCTCAACTTTCTATATACCAAATTTGCCATACTTCTAGTTCTATTGGAAAGAACATACTTATAAATAGTTTTCGTGGGAATGTATCTTTAAACATTTCATGCTACTGGGCCCTTATTCACGAAAACTTAAACTAAGATACAATCGAAATTTGAAGAAATACTGCAATTCGATTGGCTGACCAGTAAAATCAATTTGCATATATCCAATGAAGTTGCAGTATTTCTTAAAATTTTGGTTGTAACTTAGTTTAAGTTTTCGTGAATAAGGGCCCGGGAGTTAAAATTTGTTACAAACTTTTACATTATAAAATTGAACATTTTTAATTGTGTTATTATTTATCATTCAGATTTATGTTAATTTATTTCATGAAAAACTATAAAGTGGATAAATTTTCTATTAATTTGTTTTTCTTCTGTTTATTAACAGTCTTTCATACCACCAGAGTGTCCTGTAGACATGGTCAAAACACTTTTAGACCCTGAAGATAAAGACTATCATACTAAAATGACCTGTACAATGAAATCTACTATAAAATGTACCAAATCTGAGCTGTCAAGTTCTTTACAAAGGTAAAGCAGTGATATAATTTTACTATTAAAATAGTTATCCACCCTATTGATTATAGTCTTTCAAATAACGATTGGTTAGGCACTTGTATGGTCTAACGAATACTGTAGATTTTAAATGTGCATTATGTAAGAGCTAAATCTGTGTATTGTTGGTCTTTTTTTGACGAGTTATTTATTTATATGACAAGCCCATAATAAACTTTCTAGATCATTGGATGGCAGTGATATTGCATAGATAATAATTTAATGTTAAAATGGATAATTAAGACTTTATTTATTATCATAGCATTGGTACTTGAGAATCAAGACTATATTGTCAGAACTTCAAACACTTATCTATTTTGTATGAATGTCCAGCTCTAAATGTTAAATAATGCCTCTTTATTAAATATACATTATGCAAAAGCTAAATCTGCCTATTGCAGGTCTTTCTTGAGGCCTGAAATGTTTTCTAAATTATTAGTTATTCATTAACTAACTGATCCAGGCCATAATCAACTCTCGATGGCATAGGATTTCTCCGATAATAAATAGATTAGAACGGTTCAGCCACATTTCGATTTAATTTAAAAATGGAGGAGCAAGACTTAGCTTTGAACAGCCAGTATGGTGGTTGCAGTTATTGCACACATCTTGTCAAACATTCAAAGGCTAATGTCTTTGCTCCCCATAGAGTAATTTGAATAAAATTTTCAAATTATTCATTTTACATTGTCTATTTTCGAACTATTGTAGCAAGAATAGGTAGCTCTTTATCTAAGTCTTACATAATGTGACTCATGTCGCAGGAATTCTTTGTGTTTTCCGGTTTTCTTCCATTTTTGAAAGACTATTATGTTCAAAGAAATAGGGGAGAAAAATAAATGATATTTTTCCCAAAATATTTGTTTATTTTTCTCTCTGTCTTTCCAAAAACTTTTCACAAAATGCTTGACATCATCTGTAAAAGAATCACCAAATATATTTATTATTTTTTCAGTTATTTACAAGAGATCAGTAAGATATTTCTTGATGTTAAAGGAATTGCTAAAGTTGTCCCAACTAGAATTTTCTCACTTGCATTTCATCCAATCACAGAAAAGATATTAGTTGCTGCTGGTGGTAAATGGGGAGGTGTAGGATTATGGGATGTGGTATGTTTATTATTTTTGTAATGTGTGACTTATGACCGTGCCATAGTAGTAGGGGGCATAAGTACCCATATAATAACATTTTATGTCATTTTTGTGTATTGGACTTCTGGGCTTCTTAAATGTGAAATACACGCTGTGTTGTATTTACATGTTGATAGGAAACGCCAGTGGTCAAGGAAGATCACATAGTTTGATATTGTTGTCACTCTGTCCGTCTGCGCTTGCTTCTGAACGTGATAGAGTCTACATCCTTCAACTGATTTTAATGAAACTTGGTAAATTGTCTTATATTTTAGAGATCTTAGATGTAATCAAATTTCAAATAGATTTGTGATTTATTTACGAAGTGATTGATTTTCATCTGGCTAACAACATCAAAAAGGCAAAATTATTTAATTCACTCTCCTTACATATTCAAATAATTGTTTTTACAGTTTTACTATGAAAAAGCTAACACCCCAAACTGGTCCTTGTTCTAATGTTTCAATTTCCAAATTCTTCAAGTTGGTGTACCTGTTGTGTGTTGTTAATAGTTAATTTCTTTAACAACATGTCCAGATTATTTACATGTTCATCTAATATCTTTTAGCAATCGCAAGAAAACCAAGATGGGGTTGTAGCATATAAACCACATGTCAGTCCTGTAAACTGGGTTTCGTTTCATAAAGATTATCCAGCTTACATCTATTCTTCTTCATATGATGGATCTTTTAGATATGGTGATTTTGAAACTAGTAAATTTTATGAGGTAAATTGTTTGAATTAATTTATTGATGTATTTTGTTGTATGATATAATGCTGTGTGTTGTAAACAAGTATTTGTTGATGTTTCTAATTTAATGAAAATGACGTAATTTTGAACTTTTATGTTAGCTGGTCTTACAGGAATAAGTCTCATAGATAACCACTAAGGGCTTGTGTTTCCTTGCATGGAAAACTGTCTTTTAAGATATTTGTGCATTACACGGTTCTTGGAGAACTGGTTTTCTCTGATTTTCATATGTATGCCATGTTACTGATCTGTTCAGTGAGATTTCACCTTGACAGACATGTTATTATTTTTTTTATAGATTTATGCTGTACCTGATGATGAAAAAATATTATTAAGAAATGTAGATTTTATAACAGCTGATACTATGTTAGTATCACAGACTGACGGATGTGTAGCTCTTGTAGATAAAAGAACATCACGGTACTATACATTTAACATTACGTTATGTAGATTTAAACTTTACAATTATCATTATCTAAAATTAAAATTATCATGATTCAAACATTACATTTTTCATGATTTAAACATTAAAATTACCATGATTTAAACATAACAATTATCATGATTTAAACTTCACCTTTACCATGATTTAAACATTAAAATCACAATTGTCATGATTTAAACTTTACAATTATCATGATTTCATTTATCCACTTTATTTAAACTCTTTGGAAGGCTCAATCTTAAAAGGTATTTATTTAGCATAATATTAATTTTTTAGTACGAAGGCGGAGAGTATATACCCTGTATCAGATAAAGCACTACGGACTGTCAGTATGCATCCTAATGGTAATTACTTCTGTACCGGTTCACTAGATGCGTAAGTTTACAAATTACAATACTTGTAGCAATGAAAAAATATATTGTATAACCCCAGGTTTGTTTTTTTTCTCAGGAATTTTCCTCTGCAAAACAAAAATAAAGAATTGTGTTATTCACATTCAATCATAAGTAGGGCCTATATCATTCCATGGCCTGTATTAGTAGTTTGATTTGAAATATACTGTTGTCTTTCTTTTTCAGAGCGGTAAAACTATGGGATTTACGTCGAATTAAAGAAAAAAGTAATAAATGCGTTAGTGAAGTACGACATAGTAGAGTTGTTAATAGTGCTTATTTTTCACCTGTAACTGGAAGACATATATTATCTTTATCAGATGATAATACTATCAAGTAAGTGCTTTATTCACTACTTTCAGTATGCTTGCTCTTTAAGAAAACATGACACTTTTTCTGGAAGACCTGGTACCACTTCCTTTGTCTCGAACACCTAATATCTTTTTTATACGCTCACATTTTCATCTAAATGTATATTGTTGTGCCCCTATCCGTCTGTGGACACTCTACAGGTCACAGTTCTTATCCGATTTTGACTAAACTTGAAATATAGGTTTATCTGCGAAAGATCCCTGTTTATTTCAATATTGGCATGTATCGGATCGAAACTTCATGGATTATGGCCCCAGATTGTACGAAAAATCACGTTTTTAGCTTGTGGACACTCTAAGAGGTCACAATTTTCATCTGATTTTTTATGAAATTTAAAATGTTTGTTTATAACTCAAAAGATCTTGCTTCTTTTTGATATTTGCGCATATCGGATCGTAACTTCCTGAATTATGGCCTCTGGAGGTCACAATTATTATCTGATTTACAAAACTGTTTGAATATATCACAGTTACACCATAATGAAGGTTGAATTCAAATTTCGTGAAAATCGGACCAAAACTGACAGACAAAATGGCCGCCGCTTGTACGCTTATAGTGTAAAAATATGGTATATCAAGGTTGTGGACCCTGTAGAGGTAACAATTTTAATCTGATTTTGATGAAACTTGAAATACATGTTTATAACCCAAAGATCTTAGTTCCTGTCGATATTTGCACATATCGGATCAGAACTTCCTGAATTATGGCCCTTGATTGTATGAAAAATCATGTTTTTAGCTTGTGGTCCCTCCAGAGGTAACAATTTTTATCCGATTTTAAAAAAGCATTTGAATATATCACTGTTACACATCAATGAAGGTTGAGTTCAAATTATTTAAAAATCTAACCCAAACAGCCGGAATGGCTGCTCCTTGTACGCAAATAGTGTAAAAGTATGTAATACCAAGGTTATGGACTCTCTAGAAGTTATAATTTTTATCCAATTTTGATGAAACCTAAAGTATATCTTTATATCCCAAATATCTCAGACCATTTCGATATTCACACATTTCAGACCATAACTTCCTGGATTATGGTTTCTGAGTGTTGGAAAAATCGGTTTTTTTTTCCTTTTTAGCTTGTTCACTATCCATCTTTGCAAAATGTGGGCGTATCTTGCCTGGCAACCTCTGGTTCTCTTTATGGAAGACCTGAATTTTGATACCACTTTCTCTTGAACACCTAATACCTCTTTCTTGAACTTATTGCCCCCAAGGTTTCCAAAGAAACCAGGGGACTATTAAACTGGGTCTGTCTGTCCGTCCGTCTGTCTGTCTGTCACACTTTAGGGGACACAATAACTCACCTAATTGACCTAGGTGCTTAGTAGGTGAATGCCTTGATGGAGTTCGAATCTGATTGATCGAGACTTTGGAACACGATAACTCTCCTTCTAATTGAGGTAGAATGTTCAAACTTGGTGTAGGTGTTTATTAGATAAATGCCTTGACAGTGTGCAATCATGTGCATTTTCCACTAAGCACAGATAAGCAATTTGATTAGTTGAGACTTTGGAACACGATAACTTTGGTTCTAATTGGGTTAAAGTAATGAAACTCAGAGTGTAAATTCATTATACCAATACTTTGACTAAGGTCGATGATGAGATTTTTCTGCTTAGGCTAACTAGCAATAAGCAATTTGATTGGTCAAGACTTTGGAACATAACAACTCTGCTTTTAATTGAGGTAGAATGTTTAAATTTGGTGTAGATGTTCATTAAGTGAGTTCAATGATTAACATATTCGACTAAAGCTAAGCAGAGTTAAGCAATTTGATTGGTCGATACTGTGGAACAAGATAACTTTGACTCTTAACTGATAGAGAGTGATAAAACTTGGTGTATAGTTTAACTACTTAGTACTTCAAAACCATGACTGGGTTCGATCGTGAACATTTTCTTACAAAGACTAAGAAAAGGTAATCAGTTTGATTGCTCAATACTTTTGAAAAATATAAATGTGCAATTAATTAGAATGTGACATCTGTTTATTTTGGGATTTTGGCGGGGGACATCAGCCTCACTGTTATATCTCTTTCTGGAACGCATGATACAACATACTTTTTATACGCCCACATTTTCATGTGGACGTTAATTGTCGTCGACCCTGTCCGTCCGTACGTCCACAATTGTTTGTGAACAGTCTACAGGTCACAATTTTTATCCGATTTGGTTTAAACTTGAAATGTATGCTTATAACCCAAAGATCTCGGTTCCTTTCGAAGTTCGCGCATATCGGACCTAACTTCCTGAATTATGGCCCCTGATTGTTCGAAAAATCGCGTTTTCAGCTGGTGGACCCTATAGAGGTCATAATTTTTATCCGATTTAAAAAAACATTATTATATTAAGGATGACTAAGTTCGAATTTCGTGAAAATCGGCCCAAAACTGACAGACAAAATGGCCACCCTTCGTTCTCAAATAGCGTAAAAATATGGTATATCAAGGTTGTGGACCCTATAGAGGTCACAATTTCTATCCGATTTTGTTGAAACTTTAAATGTAAGTTTATAACCCAAAGATCTGGTTCCTTTTGATATTCGCGCATATCAGACCGTAACTTCCTGAATTATGGCCCCTGATTGTTCGAAAAATCGCGAAGTAGTTGATTATAGGTTTGTCATGTTAATAAAATTAATGTTTAAATAATAATTTGAGGCAGATCAAGCTCTTAATTAAATAATGCATCTACGTGTATAATACAATACAATAATCTACATAGATTAGTTAGATGATAGACTAATCAACATCGTTGATTATATAAATTGTGGCTTAATTATAAAAAGCATAGAATCAGTTGTATGCTATTATTTTCAGTATTTATGATGTGAACAAGAATCAAGAGATGACATTAAGAAAAGGAATCAGGTAAAACTCATTGTTTGTGTGATGTTACGAGTAAATGTGACCCATGACCGCAAAATCAGTCACAAGTCATTGTTTTGGTGCATGCCACACCCCTTGGGACAGAGCCAAGCCCAATTTTTATGTGTGTCTTGTGTTTCGGCTACAGTCCACAATTCTTAACAGATCCTTTTGAAACTTTGCATAGCAATTCCTTATGTCCTAAGGATGACCCCTATTGTTTTTTGGTGATTGCCCAACCCCCGGGGGCAGAGCCACACATATTTTTCTGTGTGTTTCGCCTACAGTCCGCAATTCTTAACAGATCCTTTTGAAACTTTGCATAGCGATTCCTTATGTCCTAAGGATGACCCCTATTGTTTTTTGATGATTGCCCGATCCCCGGGGGCAGAGCCACACATATTTTTCTGTGTGTCTCTGTGTGTTGCCTACAGGCCACGATTCTTAATGGATCGTCTTGGAACTTGGGATATAAATTCCTTATAGCCTAAGGGCGACAACTGCATGTCCCGACCCCCAGGAATAGAGCCATGCCCAATTTTTGTGTTTATTGTATACAGGCCGCAATTCTGAATGGATCAGATTGGTACTTGGCATATGTATTCTGAATGGATCAACTTGGTACTTGGCATATGTATTCTTTATAGTATGGGCGGCAACTATTGATTTTGGTACATGCCCCGACCCCCAGGGGGAGAGCTACACCCAATTTTTGCCACCCACTTTTTGTTAGTTTTTATCTGTAAATACTCTACAGGTTGCAATAATTAACAGATTTTGTTCAAATTCAGCATACCAATCATTTCACTAACAGGGTGCAGTGGTACCTATTTATATTGTTCCATATCCAACACCCAGGGGCATAGCCATGCCCAGTTTTTGTATTTATCATCTACAGGCTACAATTCTGAATGGATCATCTTGTCCCGCTTCCCTGGCCGGTGTCACACCCACATTTTTGTTAACCCAACAAACCCATCGCCTAGCATTCTTTGCCTCTTGTCATATTACAGCCATTTCATATTTCATTCTCTTCATTTTAAAGCAGGAATTTAGACGTATATTGCAGCATTAGCGATGCTCTCGTTCTCAGTACTTAAATAGATCAGATCTGCCGGTTCGCGAGCTACGTGACAATTTGACAGTTCTTATTTCATAATGGTTAATTTAGAGAATGAAATATTTAGCTAATATTATTTCAGTCATAATAATCATACTGGAAGATGGTTAACTAAGTTTCGAGCTGTATGGCATCCTAGTAGAGAAGATGTATTTGTTGTTGGTAGCATGGTTAGACCTAGAAGGGTAAATTGATTTTATTTTATGTTGACTTGTAATCAGAACGGTCTTGGCTCAAATTGCGTACTCATAGATGTTTAAACTACCAAATTTTATTCTAAAAATATTAACAATATGTTCAGCCCTATTTCTGTAGTTTATGTTGAATAAAATCCATTATAATATATAGTCTGCTGTATTTAAGATGACTTTTGGTTTGCGAAAAGTCCTCTAATATGCATCTGTTACCCATACTATCTGGCCTTAAAGGAATTAATGAATGTGGTTCTAGAAAATAATGAAACCCACCTTATCCATTCTGGGTAGCTTATTGTAAATTGAACATGTAATACATTTATGTCACTGATTCACATTTTGAGGGATTGTTCATCCCTCTAATTATAATATTGTGATGGTTGAATCTCAAAAAAGAAATATTAATATTAGTCCCAAAATTTGTTTAATTCCATTCAGTAATTACAAAAATATGATCAATTCAAGGTTTCCCAACATTTTGCATGAGGATATTAGGTATTGTCTAAAAAATGAAAATGACAATAGGTGCTTTATATATCATTGTTTTATTACACTGTATGCGATAAATTAGAATGTCTTGAAGAATAATTAAGAGAGTAATTTAGTGTATCTTGTATGTTTTTCTTAAGAATTTTGTGGAAATAATAAAACCCAGTAGATATTACATTGAAATTGTAAGAGAAATGTGATTTTGGGGTATGGTTTACCCAATATCACCTAATACTAATTAAATACTACCATGTTTGCCCCATAACCTCTGCTACATTTGGGTTTGTAAATGTTTCTTGGTGACATTTTATAACTCATGGGTGGTAAAATGTATGAATAATTATATTTATATTAACCAAGTCCTATTGTTTATTTACAGATTGAGATGTTTTCTAATGAAGGTACATTAATAAAAACATTCCAGAATGAAGATTTGTTAGGATCTGTGTGTAGTATAAACACTATTCATCCAGTATATAATATACTAGCTGGTGCTAATTCTAGTGGAAGAGTTCATGTCTTCAAATAAATATTTGAGAAATTCAAAAACAAATTGAGTTGCTTTCAGCCAAATTGCTAACGAAAAAAAGACTATGATGTGAGGATTGTTAAAATAATGATGTGATGTTGTTAAAACAATGATGCGATGATTGTTAAAATAATGTTAGAGACTCTATGTATGATTTTAGTGCTATAGAATCCCTTGCAAACCACAATATTTTTGAAAGTTATATCTCTAATAGGAATATTTGTCCAAATATTGTTCAGTTCTGTTTAGTATCTACAAAGATATGAAACATTGAAAATCCCATTGATCTATGCTGCTCCCTATTTAACAAATTGGTAACCAAATTGATGAGTCTGTTTTAAATCCGATTGAATCCAAGCCAGGAGATTATCTAGGTTTGGTATTTTAATTTTGTTAAATAATCAGTCTGAATACTTATTAGCATGAGAAATTTGATATGATGATTTGACGATTGTTTAAATGATGATAATGAGGATTGTTAAAATGATGATATTAGAATTGTTAAAATCATGCTGTGCTATTGTTAAAATCATGCTGTGACAATTGTTGAAATGATGATGTGCCAATTGTTAAAATGATGATGTGAGGAATGTTAAAATGATAATGTTAGGAATGTAAAATGATATGAGGAATGTTAAAATGATGACATTATTGTGAGGAATGTTAAAATTATGATGAAATTATTGTGAGGAATGTTAAACATGCATTATGCAAGAGCAAAATCTGCTTATTACAAGTCTTTCTTTAGGCCTGAAATGTATCTAAATTATCAATTAGACATTAATTAACTTATCCAGACCATAATAAACTCTCGATGTCAAGGCTAGCCTACGATGTTGGCTGGATTAGATTCCTTTAGATATTAGATTTTAGATATTAGTTTACAATGAAACTTATGACAATATTAAATTGGAAAGAGATCATGTAATAAAACTGATTATCTAATAGCTGGTTCATTTCCATTCAAACAAATAGAACACAGTTAATAAACACCTTTATTCAGAAGATATTAGAAATCAACACTTGACACAGAAGACCGTCTTCATGAAAAATCAACAAAAAGTCATGTCTAAAGTAAGGTACAGTGAGTGGCAAAATTCCAAATAGGACATTGCAGATTTAATTCAAATTGATTTACCTGTATGTAAACAGGTATACGAGTTCTAATTCTTCCATTAAATTTTGTCTGTCAAGTTATTGACGTCTTTATTTTATATGGAAACTATCCATGCCACTGAAACAGTTTATTTAGTACAATAATCTCATTTATCACAATAATAGTCATATATGTATATACTTTATAATAAAGTGCAGTAAGCTGCTACAACTTGTATTTTATTATTATACATCCACACAGAAACATGGTTCACGAAACGAGGTTCACTTGTATGTCGCCAAAGTTTGTTTGTTTTCCCTTCACAATTTCTTGTGAATGCTCTATTCAAATTAGTGAGATAACAAAGCCTATCAAAGTTTCAATAATTCCCCTTATTGATTCACCCAGCTCAATACTTTTAACCCTGTAGCGACCAAACTGTTTATTCGCTTTGTATGAAATTTATATACATCCTTCCGAATAGTTAAGACAAAATAAGGGCTTCTAGAGTTATTACCATTGATCACCTTGTAGAATCTTGTAAATGATATATAGACACAGTTATCAATCGCCTTAAAAGTTATACATGTTTGGGTATTTTAGGTTAGTGAATCAAAGAAGTATGTCAAAATTTCACAATTTCCTGTCCCTTGTGAATGCAAACGTTATCTGATCTACTTGAAATCTATATGCATTATTTATGTGAAATTTATGCAATGTTTTAGTTATAAAACTAAGAATCATATTGATTTTCAACAATTTCTGATGATTGTTTACAGAGTTATTGCCCTTGAAGACTGAAGTTTACATATTGATTGGAAAACTAAACAGTACTGAAGTTCCTATGACTAGCTGCCTGTTTATTTTTAGCCATTTCTGATCTTTAGCCCTAGTTGGGAGCTGCGGTAGCTCAATGAGTAAGGTGTTGGCTCGCTAACCTAAAGGTAATCAGGATTTTTAGGCATGTTTTTCCCTTGTCAGTGGTGTAGGATGGAAAGGCAGGCAAGGGACAACGTATAGTTGTTTGGAGGGGATATGGTGTGCATGTAAAAAAAACCTCGACAAAATTTCCCTCATAGTATACTGCATGGTGTATACTATTAGCCCATTTCATTTTCATGTAGCCCTAGTTGACTTTCAGAATTCCTGTGGTGGCTTTTGAAGCTAAAAATATCATTTGATTGAAGTGAAATTTATAAGTTATCGATGTTAGTGCCAGGAACATCATGGATTATTGCTCTTCGTTATTATTATTAGTGATTTATTAATGTCCTAGTTCACAATGCAGCCTTTATAGCCTGTTTGGGTGACTTTGCAGCTGTGGTTGTGTGTTACACTTCGAGGATTATTGTTCCTAATTGTGGGCCCTGTAGAGGTCGAAATTTTTATCCTATTTTGGTGAAACGTGAAAGATATGTGTATATCCATCCCAAAGATCTCGGGTGGGTTCGATTTGGCACGTATCGGATCGTAACTTCCTGGATTATTGTCCTTGATTGTGCAAAAACAATTGCAATTTTTATTCAATTTAAAAACTGTTTAAATATAGGTTCCTTGGACAATAATCTCAAATGAATCTGAATTTCGTGAAACTCGGACCGAAACTCTCCGTCAAAATGGCCCCTCCCCATTACACAAATTGTGACAAATCATGTATTAAATACATAATATAATATAACAAGGTTGCGGGACCTCCAGATGGACTGTCCCGGAACGTCGTATAACGACAGGGTTCACAGAACGCTGATTATGGGGTTCGTCCTCATATGACCAGAATGGTTACCGCCAAATTTGAAAAAAAGATCTGTTAAAAATTATAGCCTCTATCACGTTCACAAGGTTTTCGGAAAAAGGGGCATAACTCCTGAAAAGAAAGTTGTGGAATGCTGATTATTGATAGGGATCGCCCTTTCATGGCCCCAATGCTTCACACCAAATTTGAAAAGAATCTGTTTAAACACAGATCCAATTCAGTTTCGTTTTTTGTCCCCTGCCTTTCGAAGTAGAAAGTATAAAAAAAAACGAAACGAAATATAGATCTGTATTTTAATCAGATTGATAAAAAAAAATTTGAAACAAATTTGAAGGTTCCTCAGTTTAACTTGTGTTTTGACATATCAATGAGACCCGGTCTGTAGATTATTTGTTGTAAACCTTCTTCTATCACTAAACGAAGAAACTATAACTATAATGATTAATTTCAGATCTGATGTACTCCATGCCCCGTAATAATATTACCAATATCAATTAAGTCTTAATATTATATAGCTTATGAATCTATATGAGTTTGTTTTGCTATTGAGGGCTTTTAATGTCAAATGGCTAATTTACCCCATCGGATGGAAAGGTAATTGAATATTATTATGTAACAAGAAACAAGTTACATTCCCACGAAAGTATTTATGTAGTGGGGAGAGCGGGGTACAGTGGGCATGATTTCTTATTTTTTAGTAAATTGACCAGAAGTGAAGTCCTACAGAGAATCAAACTATGTACTCAGTTGAAGCCAGTCATATGTTCGATTTAACAGTGCTGTTAAAAAGTTAATAAATTGAAACCATTTTTATGTAGATCATTGTAAAACCAAAATTTGTTTGGACCCAATGTGCCCCGTATGTGGGGTACACTGGGTCACACTATGGGACACAGTTGGCCATCAATTATGTTTTGGGTTTTTTTAAAATGTATAGTAAACACACCGAAACTCATCAGAACTATGAAAACTAATCTTTAGTTCAAAATATGAATTTGTTTTAAGACTTGAACACAGATACGCAGCTTAACATTGAATAAAAAATCCTTTTATGCAAACCATTCCTATGATTTGTAAGTCAGTAAAGATTCGTAACCTAGGACCAATATTTCCTTAAAGGCCCAATACCACTCTTGTAACTGAATAATATGTCCGAATCTTTATTCTAGTCAAGAAATTGTAATATTTTACAATATTCCAATTAATTGATGATACAAATTTCATCTTAACACACCTAATTTAAAAAATTGGAAAAAATCAACTAAATGATTTGAAAAGCCTTACGTAAACCTTTTCAAATGTGACTTGGATTTAAAAATATTTTCGAACCCTCTCGACAAGTAAAATAGGATGTAATGGATAATTAACACAACAGGTAGGACACTTAAACATCTAATACTTAGAATAAGGCTATTATTTATTTTCTGGAGTTGTCAAGCCAGCAGGAGTGTTATTATCTCTTTAAAACAGATCAAATATCCAGATTCTGTCTAAAATGGACAAATGATATTTGACTAAACTAGAAAAGGTTATGCTCAGTGTGCCCCTCTGAAATGTGCAACGTCATCAACCACGACTGAAAATCGGAAATGGCAGGAAGGCATGTGATAGTATTATTTCTAATGAGAGTCAATTACTATCTCCTTCACCTGGAATTTCAAATTTTTGGGCTCCAACAAAATCTGAAGTGGCCAAGCAGTTTAACCAGTCCACCAAAAATTCACTTTTGCGTCAGAAAAATGGTTAACGGCTGATATATATTAATCAGCTTACATGAATTTATTGAATTTAGGAGGACACATGTGGGCTATAAAGGGGAATTCCGTAGTGATGTCATAATTGAATTTTCCCTAAACAGTTAAACATTACAAAGCCTGGCTTACTGTGCCCCGCTTCCCCCTAGTTATTTTCAATCAAAGTATGGCATATTTGGTATATATTGAAAGTAGAGCCACTCACTAATTCTTTCTAGACAAATACTCAACAATCTGATTAAAATACAGATCTACATTTCGTTTCGGTTTTTTTTATTCTTTCGATGGCCTACACTACATGAAGATCTGACCGGTTGTAGCGATAGGTCGCGTTAGAGGTCATACGAGCGGCTTTTGACCCTATGACGGCAGACATTTGATTAATCAATCAGATTGAATCAGCCATAAGGCGCGCACATAAAAAAAAACGTTAAGAGTGTCACTAACTGGCAACCTGTCTGCTTGGGCGACGTTGGGAGCGCTCTGTATGTGTTGACCGAATGCTTAGCGGTTGTGATTTCCCCTTCCTTTTACGCAAGATGTGAAATATGCACAAAGTTTTGCAGCCTACAGAGGCCACAATTGAGAATGAAAAGATCTCTGGCGATTTTAATTTTGGTGCGAATCAGACCCCCTTTCCTGAAAACCTTGTGAACGTGCTAAAGGCTATACTTTTTATACGCCCACGTTGAAATGTGGTCGTATATTGCGTTGCCCCCGTCCGTACGTAAGTTTGTTGAACCTTGTCAACACTTTAACGACAAAGGTTATCGTCCGATCTGTATGAAATTTATATGCATCATTTAGATTAGTGAAACCACAAAGCCTATTGAATTTCAGCTATTTACAATAATTACTTCTAGAGTTATGGCCCCTGTTTCACTTTGGTCAACCATGTTAATGATCGATTGATGAAAGTTATCATCCGATATGTATAAAATTTATATGCATCATTTAAATTTGTGAAATTTCAGCCATTTTCGTCAATTATTTCTAGAGTTATGACCCTTGGCTTACTTTAGGAAACTTGTGAACGTTCGAATGACAAAAGTTATAACCCGATCTGTATGAAATATATGTGCATTATTTGAATTAGTAAAACGAAAAAGCCCTTCAAATTTCAACAATTTCTGTAAATTACTTCCAAAGTTAAGGTCCTTGTTTCAGTTTGTAGAACCCTGTGAACCCTCAAACGACGAAAATTATAATCTGATCTGTATGAAATTGTCTTGTAAATAAATGCCCCCAATTATCTACAAATGAATAAATATGCGACAACCCTTGTCCACCCGCTGGACGATTTAGCTGCTGTGGGCGTATGTTTCGTTGCCTGGCAACCTATCTTTAACAGATTTGATCAAATTTAATTTGAAAGATTGGAGTCATGAGAGAAAGAACCCCTATCAATAATGAGCGTTCCTCAACCTTTCATTCCAGTGCCATGCCTTCGTGGCGTATACTATAAAAACGAACCTCAGTCATTTTTCTCGCCCGTTTCCAATATATTTTATGCGCGTGAAATCACAAGGTCTGTCATGGTTTCAATTTCCCGCTTGAACGTGGCAAAGAGTAGGGTCACCTGTCCAACCTTGTAGATTAACTCCGGGTAGACCGATTTCCACCCGCTGCTATACAGCCCTACGTGCAAGCGATTTATAGAAATAAATATTGAATCACATGTTAGTCTCGAAATATTTAGCTTGTTTCGAGTA